CTGGCGCCCTGTACGTTTTACAGACGAGAGCAGGTTCACCCTGAGCACCTGTGATAGGCGTGAAAGAGTCTGGAGAAGACAAGGAGAACCTAGCCGCACAGCCTTTCTGTGGAAGCTCGTAGCGTACCTTTGTGACGCAGTTCTTGCACGCCTCATAGTCTTCATCCAGCTTTGTTCCATCTACTCAACTAATCCAAGGTGAGCTCAAACTTTAGACTTGAAACTTGCTGCATTTAACATTTTCCTTCCCCACTGCGCCACGCTGCCATATCGACCCTGGGGTTCTTCTTCTTCACCTGGTGTTTTTAGCTCATTCTCATGAGGTGCACCACCTAATGGACTTCTGTGGTAGTGGTTTGAAAAAAGAATGTACTGATACTCCTTCGTTAGATCAAATTTCACAAGATCAATAATATTGATAATTCATATTTATACGGAATATCACATCTTATTGATCGTTTAATAAAAGTAACCACTTGCATCACGTTACAATACCATGCCATATTTATTTGTAAGGCACCAAAGTTTATTGGCTTCAATAACCGGTTAAACAAACTTTGGAAAACGTGCATCCTTACTAGCTACCAGGAACTGGTTCAGATGTCATAGGTACCCATCTCTAGTTCATTCTGCTCTCTGTTTAATGCGCTTCAAGTCCGTTGTCCTGGAGACATGTGATCCTGAACCGTGCTGAGACAGCAGGTGTTTACCTGAGATCACCTGAAGAGATTAATCCTGGAAATGCTGGTTTCTGCTTCTACTCACAGCCACCAGCGTGACGCTGCTGAAGGCCTCAGAGTGTGAGGAGATCTTTGAGGGAAATGATGAGAAGTACAAGGCAGTGTCCATCAGCACGGAGCCGCCGGCCTACCTCAGGTAACCGTCAGATAGCTCAGGTGTAAAGGGGTAACTCATTCTAGGAGATGATGAAACAGGTGTGTGATCTTCACAGGTGTACCACCTCCAGAAGACCTTTGATCTCACGCTGTCTCATGTTTGTTCCTTCAAACTGCTGATTAAGGTTTAGCGTAGAGAAATTCTGAAGAACATTTATCACCTGATCCACCAAGAACCTCCCAGGACCAGGTTCTAGATCCATGTCAGGTTCTAGGTCCTTTTCAGGTTCTAGATCCTTGTCTGGTTCTAGATCATCATTAGGTACTAGATCCATGTTAGGTTCTAGATCCTTGTCAGGTTCTAGGCCCTCGTAGGGTTCTAGATCCTTTCCGGGTTCTAGATCCTAGTCAGGATCTAGATCGTCATAGGGTTCTAAGCCCTCTTCGGGTTCTAGGTCCTCGTTGGGTTCTAGGTCCTCTTCGGGTTCTAGGTCCTTGTCAGGATCTAGATCGTCATAGGGTTCTAGGCCCTCTTAAGGTTCTAGGTCCTTGTCAGGTTCTAGGTCCTCGTCAGGTTGTAGGCCCTCTTCGGGTTCTAGGCCCTCTTCGGGTTCTAGGTCCTCGTCGGGTTCTAGGTCCTCTTCGGTTTCTAGGTCCTCTTCGGTTTCTAGGTCCTCGTCGGGTTCTAGGTCCTCGTTGGGTTCTAGGTCCTCGTCGGGTTCTAGGTCCTCTTCGGTTTCTAGGTCCTCGTCGGGTTGTAGGTGCTCTTCGGTTTCTAGGTCCTCGTCGGGTTCTAGGTCCTCGTCGGGTTGTAGGTCCTCGTCGGGTTGTAGGTCCTCTTCGGTTTCTAGGTCCTCGTCGGGTTGTAGGACATCGTCGGGTTGTAGGACATCGTCGGGTTGTAGGACATCGTCGGGTTGTAGGTCCTCGTCGGGTTGTAGGTCCTCGTCGGGTTGTAGGTTCTCGTCGGGTTGTAGGTCCTCTTCGGTTTCTAGGTCCCGGTCGGGCTGTAGGACATCGTCGGGTTGTAGGTCCTCGTCGGGTTGTAGGTCCTCTTCGGTTTCTAGGTCCTCGTCGGGTTGTAGGACATCGTCGGGTTGTAGGTCCTCTTCGGTTTCTAGGTCCTCGTCGGGTTGTAGGTCCTCTTCGGTTTCTAGGTCCTCGTCGGGTTGTAGGTCCTCGTCGGGTTGTAGGTCCTCTTCGGTTTCTAGGTCCTCGTCGGGTTGTAGGTCCTCTTCGGTTTCTAGGTCCTCGTCGGGTTGTAGGTCCTCGTCGGGTTGTAGGTCCTCTTCGGTTTCTAGGTCCTCGTCGGGTTGTAGGACATCGTCGGGTTGTAGGACATCGTCGGGTTGTAGGACATCGTCGGGTTGTAGGTCCTCGTCGGGTTGTAGGTCCTCGTTGGGTTGTAGGTCCTCGTCGGGTTGTAGGTCCTCTTCGGTTTCTAGGTCCTCGTCGGGTTGTAGGACATCGTCGGGTTGTAGGTCCTCGTCGGGTTCTAGGTCCTCTTCGGTTTCTAGGTCCTCGTCGGGTTGTAGGTGCTCTTCGGTTTCTAGGTCCTCGTCGGGTTGTAGGACATCGTCGGGTTGTAGGACAAGGATGTAGGATTACTGCAACTCTCTCTATGCAGGGTTGTGTCAGTCAACACTGCGTCGCCTACAGGTTGTGCAGAACAGCGCTGCCAGGTTCCTGACTGGGACCAGGAAACGGGACCACATTAGCCCAGTTCTGGCCTCCCTGCACTGGCTTCCGATTTGCTATCGCTCACAATTCAAAATACTCGTCTTTGTTTATCATTTCTTCCAGGGTGGTGGTCCCCCCTATCTAGCCACTCTCCTGAACAGACACTCCCCATCACGCGCTCTGCGCTCCTCTGACCAAGGCCTGCTCGCTGTCCCTCGGTCTAGGTGTCGTACCCGTGGGGACCGGGCTTTCTCAGTCCTAGCACCGTCACTCTGGAACCAGTTGCCACCCTCAGTTAGGCTGTCCCCTTCTCTGCCAGTCTTTAAGAATCACCTAAAAACACACCTCCTCCGCTTGGCATTTCCAGAACATGTTTGATTATGGCCCTCTATTATGTTGAATCCATTCCACAGTTTTCATTGGTACACTCAATCCAACCACTCAATCCAAATGTGTTTCACACATTTGTATTTTACCGGAATGTTTCTTCTATCTTGTAATTTCCATTTTGTATTTTGTAATTTGTATTTCTTTTATTGTTGATTTATTCAATATAATTACTTACAACTGTACCATGTTCAGCGCTTTGGGCTTCCTGACAGGGTTGCGGAAGGCGCTATATAAATAAAGCTTTGATTGATTGATTGATTGACATCGTCGGGTTCTAGGTCCTCGTCGGGTTCTAGGTCCTCGTTGGGTTGTAGGTCCTCGTCGGGTTCTAGGTCCTCTTCGGTTTCTAGGTCCTCGTCGGGTTGTAGGACATCATCGGGTTGTAGGTCCTCGTCGGTTTCTAGGTCCTCGTCGGGTTGTAGGTCCTCGTCGGGTTCTAGGTCCTCGTTGGGTTGTAGGTCCTCTTTGGGTTCTAGGTCCTCATCAAGTTCTAGGTCCTTTTCAGGTTTGTGAAACTGTCGTTTTACTGTTTTTGTTTCAGGGAGCAGAAGTCGAAGAGGAGCAGTCAGTGGGTTCCCACGTTACCCAACAGCTCCCATCACTTAGACGCTGTTCCATCTTCAACCACCATCAACCGTAACCGGATCGGACGGGACAAGAAGAGAACATTCCCTCTGTGGTGTGAACGCTGTCTTCTTCTGTTCTTAGTTTTGTTTGTTTTGACGTTTCATCCTCGTCTCTGAAGAAACTGTCCTGGTCGGGCCCAGATAGGGTTAGGCTTTATTCAGGCTCAGCAGCAGATCCTTTAAGTCCTGGAAGTTCTCATTCAGAACCTTTATGGACTGGATTCAGCAGAAGGTGGATTGGCCTGGTTCAGTGATGATGTTCTGAATAAACTGGTTGTCCAGGTAAAATGAGGCCTGTGTTGTTAGCAGAAGCATCATAACTGATGGTAAACCCAACATCTGAATCACATCTCTGACTAAATAAAACTCCAAGTTTCTCGTCTTGTCCAGCTTCGACGACCACGATCCGGCTGTGATCCATGAGAACGCGGCACAGCTGGAGACCCTGGTCCCCATCCGACTGGACATGGAGATCGATGGGCAGAAGCTGAGGGACGCCTTCACGTGGAACATGAACGGTAGGAGCTGAGTGACTGTTTGTAGCCCCGGCTGACTGTTCCCAGCTGCTGACGTGACTCCTGTCCTCAGAGAAGCTGATGACTCCGGAGATGTTCGCAGAGATCCTGTGTGACGACCTGGACCTGAACCCTCTGGCCTTCGTCCCAGCCGTGGCCTCGGCTATCCGCCAGCAGATCGAGTCGTATCCCACCGACAGCCTCCTGGAGGAGCAGGCGGATCAGAGAGTTATCATCAAGGTGGGTCAGAACCGGTGGTACGGTTAAAGTCGGGAATCATCTCGGGGTTTAACGTAAACATATGTTAACATAAATCACACAGACATGTTCTGTAAAGGTTCTGAACTCCAGAAGAATTTTACTGCTGCTTTTCTCAGACTCTGGTTAGAAAAAAAATGTAAAATAAAACAATCTGTCATTTTATGTTCACGGTAGAAAACATTTAAATGTTAAAATGGCTTGCCGTAGAGCCTGTTCTAGATGCAGGGTAACAGAACGCCACTACATGAACACTTGTTCTAAAATCACTTCAGTCACCGACACGGTCCGACTCAGTCGGAGCATTTCTGTCTCCATGATGATGTCAGAGATGATGAAACAAGTTGGGGGTGTGGCTACTTTTTTCTGCTGGCTCTGCAGATGGACGAGTCATCGTCCTGAGCTTCTCCTCTAGCAGCTTTAGAAATCTAAAATATTCCCTCACTGGAGACTTGAAGAGCTTCCTAGGAGGAATAAGAGCAGTCCATCTGTGGTTCTGGTTCTGCCGTGGTCCGTGTGAGGTGCTCCAGTGGTGCTGTTGTCTCTGGTTCTGGTGGATTTTTGGGGCGGTATTGAAGCCTTACCGGTGGGTTCACCACCGTGTTTTGCAGTAATCCTTGTAACCCTGCATCAGAGTGGGTCCATGTTAACGTCAGAACTGGTTCTGGTCTTCAGCTGAACATCCATGTGGGGAACATCTCACTGGTGGACCAGTTTGAGTGGGACATGTCTGAGAAGGAAAACTCCCCAGAGTCGTTTGCTCTGAAGCTGTGCTCGGAGCTTGGTCTGGGTGGAGAGTTCGTCACCACCATCGCTTACAGCATCCGTGGTCAGCTGAGCTGGCACCAGAGGACTTACGCCTTCAGGTACCGAGCCCAGTCTGACAGAACCGCGACCCAAAAGCAGGCCCTTGGCCCCATCAAGGTTCCTTTACGACATGGCTGTTTCTCTGCATCTTTCCAGTGAGAACCCCCTCCCCACCGTAGAGATCGCCATCAGAAACACGGGCGATGCAGACCAGTGGTGCCCCCTGCTGGAGACCCTCACAGATGCTGAGATGGAGAAGAAGATTCGAGATCAGGACAGGAACACCAGGTGAGAGCTTTACGATCAGAACCAGGTAGTTTTACAGATCCAGGATCAGAACATCAGCTGGAATAAAGTTCCAGAAGTAAAGAATCATCATCATCATTGTTGTTGTTGTTGTTATAACAACAATCATTACAGGACTACAAGCTCTACACAAGACCCGGTTATTCACCCATTCACTCACTGGTGGTGATTAGCTACATCATAGCCACAGCTGCCCTGGGACACACAGAGGAGCCCCTGGTTCCTGTCAGTGAGTCCCACCGGTGGTGGGGGTGTCCTGCCCAAGGACACAATGACCTGGATTTAAACCGACAACCTCCTGTCACAGAGCAATCTCCTCCCCCTGAGCTGCCGTCCCACAAGCATTAAAAAGGGCTTCTAACTAGGGGTGTAACCGTTCACGGGGAGTGTTGGACCATTCGGTTCGGTCCACTTGCGAACCGTTTCGGTTTATTTTTAACATTAAATAACAAATTTTTGTTTGTGTGATTTAAGTGCAACAGATAAAAGTTCCTAGGCGAGTTTCCACACGGACGCTGTATTGAGTGACGCATGATGGCTGCACGCGCCCTATCTCCGTTTTAAAAATGTGATCTGCAAAATCTGATCACGGCCTTTCAGAGCGGATCAAACCAGCTGCAGGAGCTGGTACTAGAGCTGCTACTGGAGCTGCTACTGGAGCTGCTGCTGCAGGAGCTGGTACTAGAGCTGCTACTGGAGCTGCTGCTGCAGGAGCTGGTACTAGAGTTGCTACTGGAGTTGCTGCTGGAGCTGCTGCTGCAGGAGCTGGTACTAGAGTTGCTACTGGAGTTGCTACTGGAGCGGCTGCTGGAGCTGCTACTGGAGCTGCTGCTGGAGCTGCTACTAGAGCTGCTACTGGAGCTGCTACTGGAGCTGCTGCTGCAGGAGCTGGTACTAGAGTTGCTACTGGAGTTGCTACTGGAGCGGCTGCTGGAGCTGCTACTGGAGCTGCTGCTGGAGCTGCTACTAGAGCTGCTACTGGAGCTGCTACTGGAGCTGCTGCTGCAGGAGCTGGTACTAGAGTTGCTACTGGAGTTGCTACTGGAGCGGCTGCTGGAGCTGCTACTGGAGCTGCTGCTGGAGCTGCTACTAGAGCTGCTACTGGAGCTGCTACTGAGCTGCTACTGGAGCTGCTACTGAGCTGCTACTAGAGCTGCTACTGGAGCGGCTGCTGGAGATGCTACTGGAGCTGCTACTGAGCTGCTACTAGAGCTGCTACTGGAGCGGCTGCTGGAGATGCTACTAGAGCTGCTACTGGAGCTGCTACTAAAGCTGCTACTGGAGCTGCTGCTGGAGCTGCTACTAGAGCTGCTACTGGAGCTGCTGCTGGAGCTGCTACTGGAGCTGCTACTAGAGCTGCTACTGGAGCGGCTGCTGGAGCTGCTACTAGAGCTGCTACTGGAGCTGCTACTAAAGCTGCTACTGGAGCGGCTGCTGGAGCTGCTACTGGAGCTGCTGCTGCAGGAGCTGCTACTGGAGCTGCTGCTGGAGCTGCTACTAGAGCTGCTACTGGAGGTTGCTACTGGAGCTGGTACTGGAGCTGCTGCTGCAGGAGCTGCTACTGGAGCTGCTGCTGGAGCTGCTGCTGGTGCTGCTACTGGAGCTGCTGCTGCAGGAGCTGCTACTGGAGCTGCTGCTGGAGCTTGCTACTGGAGCTGCTACTAAAGCGGCTGCTGGAGCGGCTGCTGGAGCTGCTACTGGAGCTGCTGCTGGAGCTGCTACTAGAGCTGCTACTGGAGCTTGCTACTGGAGCTGGTACTGGAGCTGCTGCTGCAGGAGCTGCTACTGGAGCTGCTGCTGGAGCTTGCTACTGGAGCTGCTGCTGGAGCTGTTGCTGGAGCTTGCTACTGGAGCTGCTACTGGAGCTGCTACTAGAGTTGCTACTGGAGCTGCTACTGGAGCTGCTACTGGAGCTGGTTCTAGAGCTGCTACTGGAGCTGCTGCTGCAGGAGCTGCTACTAGAGCTGCTGGTGGAGCTGCTACTGGAGCTGGTACTAGAGCTGCCACTGGAGCTGCTATTGGATCTGGTACTAGAGCTACTAGTGGAGCTACTACTAGAGCTGCTGCTGCTGGAGCTGCTGGTGAAGCTGCTACTGGAGCTGGTACTAGAGCTACTAGTGGAGCTACTACTAGAGCTGCTGCTGCTGGAGCTACTAGTGGAGCTACTACTAGAGCTGCTGCTACTGGAGCTGCTGGTGAAGCTGCTACTGGAGCTGGTACTAGAGCTACTAGTGGAGCTACTACTAGAGCTGCTGCTACTGGAGCTGCTGGTGGAGCTGCTACTGGAGCCTGTAGATCGTCGCGTCGCCCCTCCCTCCCTTCTCTCACACTGCCGACACACAGTGGCTAAAATGTAACCAAACACGTCTGATGAACTCCCCCCCCCCCCCCCCCCCCCGGGGACAACTGATGTAACGTTTTCATCCTACAACAAAAATACGGCGTGGAGGAAGCTTGTCATTCAATGTGAGATTTCAAGAAGAAACTCCGGGTGGTGTGAGGTCAGTTTTTAAGGCTCGCTGCAGAAATAAAAACAGGAGCATCAACAGTCAAACACAACACGTCTGTGTGAGCGTGACACTGGTAGCTGCACTAATAACCTGTGAAATAATAAAAGATGCTAGATCAGCAGCCTGTGCTGACACCTGCTTCTGCTCGCTATAGCAGCCGCTTCAGACATTAAATAAATAAATATAATAAAACTAATCAAACCGAGCTCTTCAACAAACAGTACCGAATATGGTTTTAGCGTTCCGTTACACCCCTACTCCTAGTCATGGCAGCGCACACCTGACCTGGTTTATACTGGTTCCAGCAGCCTCTCCCTGAGACTGGTTCTGGTTCTTAAGAGGCCAACAGGTGTTTAGCTGCTTGATGAAACCTGAAGGATGAGACTCAGGTTCAGGTCTCTGTTGACTTTCTGGCTCAGTTCACCGGCTGGAGAGATTTCTCACCTGACGAACACCAGGAACTCTGGGTCAGAAGGTTGCTCTGTAAGCAGTAGGTTGTGGGTTCAAACCCATGTGTGGCTGCTGTGTAGGTCAGCACCTCCAGCCAGGTGTCCTTAGACTGTGGAGGCCTGAGGTGACTCGGGTTGAGTTGATTCACTTTAAAGTACTTTGGAGTCCTGAAGAATCCAAGATGGTAATTAACTGAGTCCACCTTTACAGGCGAATGAGACGGCTGGCCAACACTGCTCCCTCCTGGTAGAGACACAGCAGGACGTCCATAAACCCCAACACAACCAGAACATGGACTCGTGGACTGGGCCACCAACACCTCCAGATGTTCTTCTGATCCGTTTCATCGTGGCTCTGCCTCATCATATATGTAGCAGCTGGTGGAGCTCTGACCAGCCTTCACACACACACACACACATAGAAATAAGCACACATACACACAAATACACACACACATATAGAAATAAACACACATACACATAGAAATAAACACACACACACACACACACACATAGAAATAAACACGTACACATAGAAATAGACACACACACACACATAGAAATAAACACACACACACACACACACACATAGAAATAAACACGTACACATAGAAATAGACACACACACACACACACACACATAGAAATAAGCACACACACACACAAATATACACACACACATATAAACACACACACATAGAAATAAACACACACACATAGAAATAAACACACACACACACACACACACACAGAAATAAACACACACACACACACATAGAAATAAACACACATACACACATATAAACACACACACAGAAATAAACACACATAGAAATAAGCACACACACACACAAATACACACATATATAAACACACACACACACAAATACACCCACACACATAGAAATAGACATACACATAGAAATAAACACACATAGAAATAAGCACACACACACAAATACACACATATATTAACACACAAATACACCCACACACATAGAAATAGACATACACACACACACATATAAAACACACATACACATAGAAATAAACACACACACACATAGAAATAAACACACACACAAATACACACACAGAAATAAGCGCACACACACACACACACACACACACACACACACACACACACACACACACACACACACACACACACACACACACACAGAGAGTGAGCTTTAGGACTCCCCAGGTCTGATCAGGTTCTGATGAGTTCTCTGGTTCTGATCCGTTCCGTGTGCTGGTGTAGACGTGTAGTCTGCCTCTTGTGACTCGGGTCCAGCAGAACCGAGTTCATCATGTCAGACCTTTCTTTTGTACATTGTTTTATAGTGGACTTGTTTTATATGAAATAAACTCGTTGGAAAGATGAAGATCTACGTTTTCTTTTAATTCATCCATCAGGGCCTAAAACCCTCCACAGGTGTGTGGTTGCTTCCAGAATCCAGATTAAAAGAGTCAATCCACACAAACATGTTTATGATCTGTGGAGTGAAAACAGCAACAAATGCACAAGGAGAACATGCTGCAGCTGGTATTTGAACCTGCAACCACCTTGCTGTTGTTACAGGTGAGTGGTTTCACGTGTTTGGTAAAAACATCTTAACCCGTTATCCTCGGAGCTCCAGCTTTACTAAAGGTCAGCAGAGGTCAGATTTACGAGAATCCACGCTTTAATCTCAATCCCAGACCTAACGTTGTTGTGTCTGCCGGGCTCCTGTAATCTCGCGGCTGTCCGCACTCTCGCGGTAATCAGCGATACTTCTGATGAACCGGTTGGCGGACGGCGAGTCAACAGCAGCTAGTATACAACATCGACATAAATATACATAGAATTAAACGTTACCGGGAACCGAACGGCTAGCGGGTGAAGAATGTTTTCGTTTCGGTTCGCGGTCCGTGAGGCTGGTGTCTGCTCCCGAACCCGCTCGGTTCTGTGAACGGGTCCTAACGGACCGTGGAGGCACTCGCAGACCCGGTTCGTGAGCCCGTGACCACGTCTCTTCTCCGGTGTCGTTTCATCGAAGAGGCTGCAAAGAACCCGAGTGGATCCAGTTCGGTTGGATTACTACCGGGACTTTCTCCGGGCCAGGTGAACCTTTTTGACTGCGTCCTTCTGGAAGCGACCGGGTTTTTGTTCGGCAGGATCCGGGGCTAATGGAGGACATGTGACGTGGTGAGGTGGCTGGGCTCGGGGGTCTGAGGAGACCGACCCCTCTGTTCGGTTCTGCCGGCTAATGATCCACCCACAGGGCTCGGTAATGCCCCGGCTGCTCGGGGGGGTGTACTGCCAGTGTCGGTCCGGGTTGGACCCGGGAGGGGGTTCGGGACCGGGACCTCCGGGTCCCCCACCGGCCGACCAGCACGACTGTCCACCGGACTCTGAGCTGTGTGGCGGCCCGGAGCAGGAGCACCGGCTGAAGGTTCTGTTCCAGATCCTGGACGTGAACGGGGACGGCGGCATCTGCGTGAACGACCTGAGCATCGGCTTGAAGAAGCTGGGAGTCCACCGGACCGAGCACGAAGTCAGGGTGAGTAGAACCAGACCGCGGTCATAGTCCCGGAGACCGGTGTTATGTCGACATGTGTTCCCCCCTCGAGCTCTGTTTCTTTTGTACCCAGCTGCGAGTGAGTCCCAACCCCACCCATTATCCTGAAACTAACATAAAACTGTGCCACACATAATATTTAAAAAAAATATATATTTATGCAAAACATAAATTTTTGGTGCCGGGGTGTTTATGGTTAGGGTGAGGGTCGTTTCAACACCGGCTCCTACGCTGCCGTTAAGTTTAGTTTAATCTGCCCAAACCCCCCCCCCCCCCCCCCCCCCCCCCACACACACACACACACACACACGCACGGATACACACACTGGGGGCTGGTTAGGGTTAGTGTTATTGAAGCCAATGGAATCCGTTTGTCCAGTATATGTACAGTCTATGGGGCTGAGCCACGCACGGACGGAGACGTTTTGCCGTCATACTCATACATGTACATAAACACATGTATGATTATGTACATGTATGAGTATGACTACAGATAAACATACATGTGTGTTTATCTGTAGTCATACCTCTGTCTCCTGGGAGCGTTGCAAAGCAATTCCCCGCCAGGACACCAGAGGGCGTAGCGCTGTTCTGTGGTATCCTGTCCAAGATGGTGTATTTTTGTTTTGTTTAATTGTATTTATTAACACGGACACATTTGTCCCTCATTCGCCTCTTCATGCGGTCGCGACTCGCGACCTCTAAACCCTCGTTTCCCGTCATTTCCGCCCACGAATAAAACGCTTGCTGCGCATCTTTTCACTCCCAACAGTCACGGGGGAATAAAACGTTTGTATTTTCAGAGTTTTTGTGATCTATTTTTAAAGCTGCTCCGTGTCTGCCTATAGCTGTCTTCCGGCGTGTTGACCAATCACAAGCTTGCGTTCTCCGTCTCGTCGGACATATGTTTGGAACAGAGCTTGTGCTGTAGAGCCATATATATACAGTGTTGGGAACGTTACTTTAAAAAAGTAATTAGTTATAGTTACTGATTACTTTGTCAAAAAAGTAACTCAGTTACTAACTGAGTTACAAGATTATAAAAGTAACTAATTACCAACAAAAGTAATTACTTAGTTACTTTTTTCATTAAAGAATGCAAGAATTACTACAATAGTAAAATATAAATGACTAATGACTGAACATAATAAAATTTATGTCCAAATGTTTTATATAAACCTGAATAATTTAAACAAATAAGCACTTAACAGGAGGAACTACTAATAGGAACATTACACTAATCTAGACTATTAAAAGGTCACTGTGTGATATTTAACAAAAACCCAATCATCTAAAATTTAAAATTGCAAATAGAAACACCTGTAAAGGTTCCCGAGCCTTTAAATGGTCTCTCAGTCTAGTTAAATTACAGAAATAAATGTAATTTTGCACAGTATTCTAATTTTTCCAGCTTCACATAATTGTGTGTTTTTACTAGCATTTCTGTTGCTGCTAATCTAGTAACGGTTAAATAAATAAATAAAATCCCTTAAAATGACACTAGAAGAGGCACAAGCCTGATGGAGGACTTACATGTACTAACTTGGGTCAGACCCAACCACAGAAGAGCTGAAGCTGGGTGGTAAACACACACAGGTAGTTCTAATAACACCTGAGCTCCATGACGTCTGAGACTGATGCATCAGTGTTACAGCGGGACTAAAGACATGATCAGAAACAGGTTACAGCTGGATGATCTAGGAAGGTAGAAGATCAGGACGTCTGAGCGGTGAACAGGTGAGCAGACCTTCAGGGCATCCCGCTGTCACGCTAAGGGCACGGCTGCAGACCCGCAGATTCGTTGCTGCAGCAACAAGTCTGCGGGGGGTCTGCAGCCGTAGATATTCATCACGTCTTCCTCGTTCTTCACGGGCCGTGATGCACTTGGATGAAAACATCTACCTCTTTAGCTCCTGATCAGCTGATGACAGCTTCAACACACCGCGCTGCTTAACGCACGCATTTTCTTATCAGTAACAGGAACGACGTTTTGATAAAAGAAGACGTAATTAATTAGTTTGCTCGTTACAGAAAGAAATATTTTTTATTAACGCGATTATTTTAAACGGAGTTATTCCCGTTGTGTCTACAGAATGCAGCGACTGAGACCGTGAGGGTCTCCGCCCACCCGGCTAATCATCATCGTGTTTGTAAGTGCGTTACCGACACTTCTCTCTCCCTGGCTGCAGCTGAAGTGTGGCGGTCAGAAAGCCTCACGCTGTTGCTCAACGTTCGACAAGCACATAGTAACGCACAGCGTTCCGTCCCCAGTAACGGTAACGGCGTTGCAACGGCGGGAAAAGTAATTAATTAGATTATTCCGTTACCTATAAAAGAACGCCGTTAGAAACACCGTTATACTTAAACGGCGTTACTCCCAACACTGTATATATATATGTGTGTGTGTGTGTGTGTGTGTGTGTGTGTACACACACACACACCCAAACCTCCATCAGACAGGTTCATGTGAAGTTCTCTGGTCTGGCATCGTTGGGAGGAATGTGAGTAGAAGGTAGGGCACCAGAGTTTATAGCGAGGTCAAAGGTCACATTTTCCTCCAACCAGTGACAATATTGTAGAGCAGCGTTCTTTCAGGAGAGGCATGGATGATCCTGTCAGAACCCATACACGTTCTTTAAAGCTGTGGGTTGAACCAGTCGCTGAGGTTGTGAGTTTGAATCCCGTGTGGCTGATTTATGATGATGGGTGAACAGCAGAGTCAGCCACTAAGGGTCTGTCTGATTGGTCGGATCCAGCCTTGAGGCATCACTCAGCAGTTTGTGTTCCTCTGGGGAGAGAGGCCCTGCGGTCTGACCCCCCTCCCCTCACTGATTACTGTGACGCATGTACTCTGACTTCAGCCTGCTATTGGCTGAGGGTTAGGTATTGGGGCCTCAGCTATTGGCTGAGGCTCATCCTCAGCCAGTGTGGTTGGTGCTGATTGGTCTGACTGGGCTGCAGTGAGGATGCAGCTTTCTGGAGGATGACTGTGCAGCATATGACCGGCTGCTGATGCTGAATCTAGCAAAGTACGGAATCCTGTCCCCGGGATGGAACATCTTGTCTCTTCCTGCTGATTCCCATGGACCCCAGTCTGGAAATCTGTCTGAGAGTAAGGAGAAGGGGATGCAGCAGGAAGACGAGTGTAAGAGAAACCAACTCAGAGCTCTGAAGTTAACTTCAGCAGAGTCTTCATCTCTTCTCCGGTAGACAGGCTGGAGTAAGGATGCTGCAGGACTTCCTGATCCTTCTCTGCCAGACGCTCTTTGGCAGGGCTCAGGGTAAACCTGCTGAAAACCATCTCCCAAAAGACAATCAGACTGGGGAAGCTGGGAGGTACAACAAGCTGCATGTCTGTCTCCAGGGAACAACTTCCTGCTTAGCTGGTAGCAAAGATGTCACCAGGCAGGACGTCGTTCCCAAGAAGACCAGGATACTAATCATGATGGCAGAACCTGCAGAGTTTCAACAGGTAGGGATCCCACCTGTAGTTTGTTGCTGATCCCAAACAGAACCCAGTCCAGAAGAATAGTTAATGACTGTAACTCTAACCGAAGTCCGAGGTGGCCTATCCTCACGTAGTCCGCAGAACCGATCACAAAGCTGGATTCAGGTCACACATACACGAACAGGTGGTGGTGGTGTCTGTCCTTCAAGTTGACCATATGTTCCTCAGAGATCCTTTGTCTTGTTCCAGAAAATAGTCAAAGCCGGAGACAAAGACCTGGATGGACAGCTGGACTTTGAGGAGTTCGTTCATTATCTCAGAGACCACGAAAAGAAGCTGCGGTTGGTCTTCAAGAGTCTGGACAAGAAGAACGACGGTGAGGAGTCCTGACCCTATTGCAGGATAGAATCGTTAAACAATGTCTGACCTTTGACCCCTTGATATGTTTTAGGTCAGATTGACTCCCAGGAGATCATGCAGTCTCTTCGTGATTTGGGAATAAACATCTCAGAGGAGCAGGCAGAGGAAATCCTCAAGAGGTTAGCTTCTCCCTAAATCCATACAATAAACACTTGGGTCGGCTGAGTGGGTGTGGCTATGCACCTGTGACACCAATGGGTTATATGATGTAATGAAGATCTGGTTCACTCCGTGACAGGAAACTTGATTTCTGTATCATCAGTCACCTTTAAACATGATTTAATCAGATTTAGCAAAACTTGTCCTTCCTAGCACCAAAGCCCCCATTCCGACCCAATGCTTCGACCCAACGCTCTTACCCAACGCTCCGACCCAACGCTCTGAACAAACTCTCCGACCCAGCGCTCTGACCCAACGCTCCGACCAAACGCTCCGACCCAATGCTCCGACCCAATGCTCCGACCCAACGCTCTTACCCAACGCTCCGACCCAACGCTCTTACCCAACGCTCCGACCCAGCGCTCTGACCCAACGCTCTGAACAAACTCTCCGACCCAGCGCTCTGACCCAACGCTCCGACCAAACGCTCCGACCCAATGCTTCGACCCAACGCTCCGACCCAACGCTCTTACCCAACGCTCCGACCCAACGCTCCGACCCAACGCTCTGAACAAACTCTCCGACCCAGCGCTCTGACCCAACGCTCCGACCAAACGCTCCGACCCAATGCTCCGACCCAATGCTTCGACCCAACGCTCTTACCCAACGCTCCGACCCAACGCTCTTACCCAACGCTCCGACCCAGCGCTCTGACCCAACGCTCTGAACAAACTCTCCGACCCAGCGCTCTGACCCAACGCTCCGACCAAACGCTCCGACCCAATGCTTCGACCCAACGCTCTTACCCAACGCTCCGACCCAACGCTCTTACCCAACGCTCCGACCCAACGCTCCGACCCAACGCTCTGAACAAACTCTCCGACCCAGCGCTCTGACCCAACGCTCCGACCAAACGCTCCGACCCAATGCTCCGACCCAATGCTTCGACCCAACGCTCTTACCCAACGCTCCGACCCAACGCTCTTACCCAACGCTCCGACCCAGCGCTCTGACCCAACGCTCTGAACAAACTCTCCGACCCAGCGCTCTGACCCAACGCTCCGACCAAACGCTCCGACCCAATGCTTCGACCCAACGCTCTTACCCAACGCTCCGACCCAACGCTCTTACCCAACGCTCCGACCCAACGCTCTTACTCAACGCTCCGACCCAGCGCTCTTACCCAACGCTCCGACCCAACGCTCTTACCCAACGCTCTTACCCAATGCTCTTACCCAACGCTCCGACCCAACGTTCCGACCCAATGCTCTTACCCAACGCTCCTAACCAATGCTCTTACCCAACGCTCCGACCAAACGCTCCTAACCAATTCTCTTACCCAACGCTCCGACCCAACGTTCCGACCCAATGCTCTTACCCAACGCTGTGACCAAACGCTCCTAACCAATTCTCTTACCCAACGCTCCGACCCAACGTTCCGACCCAATGCTCTTACCCAACGCTCCGACCAAACGCTCCTAACCAATGCTCTTACCCAACGCTCCGACCCAACGCTCCGACCCAACGTTCCGACCCAATGCTCTTACCCAACGCTCCGACCAAACGCTCCTAACCAATGCTCTTACCCAACGCTCTTACCCAACGCTCTTACCCAACGCTCTTACCCAACGCTCCGACCCAACGCTCTTACCCAACGCTCCTAACCAATGCTCTTACCCAACGCTCTTCCCAACGCTCCGACCAAACGCTCCTAACCAACGCTCTTACCCAATGCTCCGACCAAACGCTCCTAACCAATGCTCTTACCCAACGCTCTTACCCAACGCTCTTACCCAATGCTCTTACCCAACGCTCCGACCAAACGCTCCTAACCA